AGCCTTCAAATACAAGCACCACTGATGTGGACACAGAATTTTCAATGGATACTCAGGGCACTTGTGTACTCTCTGAAGTAACAATACTGAAGTTGTAGTTGTTATTCTTACTAATCCTTTCATTATCCTCTCGTTAATGTTCTGGACCTTTAAAATTCTACATTTTAGGCAGAAGTGATAAACTTCTGTAAAATATAGACATCTGAATATTGTGAGTAGTCAAGTTGATTAATAAAATGAACTCAGAGCTACATGCTGTGCCGCCATCTAGTGCTGAAAAAATAAATAAGATTTTTAAACCGTAGCAAATTTCATTTCCAGATTACTAAAATTCACCTTGGGATTGTTTGCCTTGGTAGTTGGGTTTGTGGTTGTTTAGTATTTTGTGGCGCAAAGGAGAAGTTGCTTGTTTGCTTTCATTTTGGCTTTTTTGCTTGGTTTTTGTTCCTGTAGTCAGGATCAGTATATACCTTACAGTGTGCCTAGAGCAATAAGCAGGTGGAAACCACAACATGAATACAGTAAATCCATACACAAATATAAGATACTCCAAACATTGAGAGGTGTGGGATTGAGAAAGGAGCCAAGTAAAACCTGACGTAGTATAGCAGAATTTTGCTGTGCCCTGTACATCCATCCTGCAAAGGGGATGTAAGGTATCAGGCCAATAACCAAAAGGTCAGCAATTCTAATGCACCAGGCGATCCATGGACAAAGATGGACCATCCCCTCCCATAAAGATTTACAGCCTCAGAAACCTGACGGAGGGTCACCGTGAGTCAAAACGCACCCAGCAGCAGTGGTTTGTGGTTTTATACAAACTGTTGTTTGTATGAGTACTGTTTGCTGTGTGGGGCTGTGTCAGTCTAATGCTTAATTTAAGTGAGGTATTATACAACCCAGAATCTAGACTTTAAACATATTCAGACATGAGAAAAGAATTTCTTTTCATTTTCTCTGTGGTCTTTAGAAAATAAATCCAGCTACAGAAGGAATGCACTGTTATTTCCTGTTATGGACAAGGAGTGTAAGGAGGATCATCTCAGACACAGACATCTGTTCAAATCCTGTGGGGCCTTCAGTGGTGAAGCGTGCTATGCTCACTCGGGCTTTTGTGATTCTAGTTCTGCCTGTTAGTTATTTCCAGAAGTTGATGTATTTTGATCTATAGCCGCCTCACAACCTCATGGACAACAGCAGTTGAGTAGGTAGTCTGATCTGCCTGATTGGCATCTCTCTCTGAGGTAGCAAAGTGATTATCAGTGACGATTACAGCTATATCTTGGCAGTAATAATTGTGCTTCTCCCGCCCTGCATGCACAGTGCTGAGCCCTGGCCTCCTGAGGGAGTGAGCACTCTGTGAAGCTGCTAATGCTATAACAGCCCCATTTATTCCTTCTGTAGAAACACCTCCATACCAGAGGAAGTCTGAGAATCTCCTCCTATCTCATCTGTCTGTCTCTCTCTCTTATTGCATAATGATTTAGTGCCATTCTCCTCCCCCAAACAATCCTGACCCTTTTTTTAAAAGACAGTATCAAAAGGATTATCTTACACTTAGTTGCCTGTGACCTGGACAGAGTGAACAAGTATTAACTATGTTAACTTACAGTGTATGGGTTTGGATTGTTAACAGTGAGCTTTAAACATACTTCTGTGTCTTTGATTCCCTGCACCAGGGAATGACAAGAGTGCTTTGTAATAAATAGCACAACCATGGTATCCCATTAATGTTGTTGTTGTCTTCTGTAATAGGAGTTTGCTAATTCAGAAGGGTTTGATGAATTTTTAATATCCCAACAGATAATCTGGTTCTCCTTAAAAAGTTTCTAAATACCGATTGACCATGATTATTACCATATAGTGTCCATATAATGATTTTCAGAATAGCCAGCTTCCATTTGTTGAATGCTTGTTAATGATTAGACATTTACACTGGAAATTTCAGCAACCCTGAGATAATTACCACGCTTCCCTTTTTTTTTTGTTTGCTTTGTTTTTTTTAATAGTTTATTTACAAAGTTCGAGTACATTGTTTTTTCAGATCTTTCCCATTTCCTTCACTCACACACACACACACACACACACACACACACACCCCTCAACCCCCATCAAATTGTGAGACTCTATGATTAACACCTCCACCCTCCTTTTCTTTCTTTTTTTTTAGATGAAGGCACTAAAGTGTTTATATATTGTTTCCTGGATAGCATAGCTGAAAATTATATGTATGTATCTTTGGTTTCCGAGGAGTCCTGAGTGTGTAATTTTTTATGTATGGCTGCTAACTAAAAGGTTGGATGTTCACATACACCGAGATAGGCTGTCCTCTCTTCTTCGGTAAAGATTTCTAGCATGGGAAACCTGGATCAGTAAGCAGTGTGTTTGACTTTTTATTTCATTCTTGTTTGTTTTTATCTTTGGTTCCTGAACCCCAGTGCTGCAGGTTTTTCCCTAAAGAAAGATGAGACCATACAATCTACAGCATTTTTTTGTATCTACAGTTTATAATTTGCTATTATTAATGCCTTTTATTTGAAGTGAGTCTAAATATGGAAAATTCTTTAAAGTGCCACAAAGCATTCAGATGAGACAGTCTTGCTACAGTATTATCAGTAACGGCCTAAATTGGCCTTTTGAAAATTCATTGGCTTTACAAAGCCCACTCTTCACATTAACATATATCATTGACTTTTTACTATTAATACACTTCTCTTTATTGACGGTTTGCTAGAGTAAAATTTAGTTTGAAGTTATTTTTTAACAACTAAAGGTGACTTCTACTTTTTTCACAGTACTTATTGCAGACACACTATATTCTCCTCAGACCTGTCCTACTACCTCTTAGTCCACGCAGAGAACACACAGAATTACTCCCTTAACTTCTGTCTCTTACGTGCAGATTTCCTGCATCCTCAGTCATCAGTGCTAGGCTCTTCCCTGACAAAAGTCCTTGTCTGACATATGTCAATCCTTAGCACAGAGGATCTTGGTAGTACTGTTTTGTGAATGAGCACGTGCTAGCTGGTTACTGTTGTAGTCGGTGAGCTGTCGTTGCTTAAGCCGACAAGTCCAGGTAGATAAGAGGGCCGTGATCGGGGATAAATGAGGATGGCAGTCCTTGCTGTGAAGACAAGCACTTCCTGAGTGCTGGGTCCTATATGCCCTGTCCCTACTTTAGAGAGGGTCTGGGATTCAGGAGCGGGAGTGACATCCACCAGCTTACATAGTCTCTGCCCCTGTCATCCTTGTCTTGTCCCCACACTCTCTGGAAGGAGTGCTACACCTCTGCTCCCTTGACTTCTATTGCCATTTTTGTGTCAAATCAGCACCTCCAGATCCCTTCCTGAAGGTTTCAGGTGTCACACAGAGACCTCAGACCTGTTAAAAACTTGTCTTGCCTACCCACGTATAGCAACATTACATGGAAACCAGAGCCCTTTGTGGCTCCTCGCCTCCAGCTTCTAGCCCTCCTTTCTACTTCTTTGATTCTCATTGTCATCTCTGTCAGGGTCTCATCAAAGTCCCTTGTTTCTCCACTGAATGACTGTGATCACTTCAGCCTCACCCCTTAATCACCTCACCACTTTATGTGCCTGCCAGCATATACCATTTAAATATGAAACCACATGGGTCATTCCTTGAGCATGTCCTCGTTGCCGTCCACACAGCGTGTCTGCAGTTTAGACAACATTTAATCTCCCCACCATCACCATTCCTCCTCCCTAACCTCTGTGACCCAACCCTGGCGACATCCCCAGGTGAGTGCTCCAGCAGCTCACCTCACCCCTCCCTTTAACATAAGACACTCACTCCTGAGTGCTCCTTCCCTCCCATGGAGCCCTGCTACTGTATGCATCAGAAGTATTTATTATCTTTTATCAGTGTCTCCATTCACCGTAGCACAGTGCCCGCTAGCACACATAGTCAAGATTTTCCAAATGCACAAATAGACATCTTCCTAGGAAAAACTGGTAATTTTCTGTAGAAATGGGACTGTGCTCTGATGCTGTTGGCATTATACTTCAGAAACAATATACTTTACTTCAGAAACAATATACTTTCAACCCTTTAATGACATTTCTGAGTCCGTAAAATAGTCATTCCATTGACTTCTTTTTTCCCTGACAAACATATATAAACAACTCAGGAGACCACCACCTGCTTTTGCACACAACTATAAGTCTGTGCTTCCTGAGTTTTCAAAGTTCTAAGGTTGTCTGCCACTGAAAGACAGCTCAGTCAGGGTAGATCTTTTTTATTATTCTTTGCTGTGTTCCTTGGACCTGGTTAAAATGGTCCTTAGTATTCTGTGGATACATGGTTAGTAAAAGTTTAATGAATCTAGCAATCCTGTTTGAAGATGCAGGAAGTCTGCTAAGTGGAAAGCATGTATATTTGAATGCTCATTGGTGCCAATAAACCAGTTTACTAAAATATGTTAACTTTAAACTTTGAGACTTATTAAAAGTTGTTATTGTGCTTATATTAAGGAATCTGCCTGTTGGAGGTAGGAAGGGAGAAGACTTGCTGTAAAAAATAAGGGTTCAATTTTTTTTTTTTTTTTTGGTATTTGGGACCCAGTTTTCAAGGCCCTTCATTACCTAGCTTTTCACCAATATCTGTGAAATAAAGGTAGTATCACTTGGTCAGCATTTGGTCCCTCTAACTTCTCCAATAACATTTTCACACTTGAGTTACTGACGTGGGACAATTAGGCACCATTAAGTTTGTAATAAGGAACTATCTTTATACTCATCTGTGGGGAGCCAGGGGAGGTTAATTCTAACACAGAAGTTCCTAAAACTTGAATGTTATTGTTACTGCAGCTCTCTCTCTACAAGTTAGGAAAACCTGGCCATAAAACCCTAGTATATCTTCATTTTGTTTCAGACTCTGCTAGCTCTTCTTTCTGCAAACTGTTTTGATTGACAGAAAAGACTTGATTACACTGGTTTCCAAATGATTTCTCTCACTGGGTGGTTTGACTTGTTTTTCAGTCAGCACCATCTGGACACAAACATCTGACAGTAGAAGAATTATTTGGAACCTCTTTGCCAAAAGAACAGCCATTGGTCATGGGTCTTGATTCCGAAGAAGTGGAGAAGCAGCCAGGAGATGCCTCACAGAAAGAGCCCAACTCCTTCCTACCGTTTTCCTTTGAGCAGTCTGGAGCGGCCCTGCAGTCAGACAACCTGGGCATGCAGCCTGCTGCTCCGCACTCTGTCCATCCTGAAGTCGCCACCCCATTGCTGATCACGCCTGCCTCCATCACCCAGTCCAGTGACAAGCATGCCTCAAACTACCTGATCCCACTGAGCCCTGTCCTCAGTCCTACCCTGCCAGCAGAAGCTTCTACTGCACAGGTTCCCCCCAGCTTACCTCGAAACAGCACCATGATACAGGCAGTGAAGACCACGCCCAGACAGAGGTCTCCCCTCCTGAATCAGCCAGTCCCCGAGCTAAGCCACGCCTGTCTGATTGCCAACCAGAGCCCTTTCAGAGCTCCACTGAGTGTATCTAGCACGTCTAGCACAGCCCTCTCAAGTGTGGATCTACTCCAGAAACTCAGGTTGACTCCACAGCATGACCAAATTCAGACACCATCGCTTGGGAAAGGTGCAGTAGCACCCAGCTTTCCTCCAGCAGCTGGCCAGCTGGCCACCCCTGAAAGCTTCATAGAGCCTCCGTCTAAAACTGTAGCAGCCAGAGCAGCGGCCTCAGCCTCCCTGAGCAACATGGTGCTTCCTCCTCTTCAGGTACCAACAGAATGTGGGGTGGGGGTCAGGGAGGCAACTAATTGGGGCACCATGAAACTGTAGAAACCACGCTGTCAAAGAAATAGTGTCTTTAACAGAGGCACCTGCTGAATGTGTCAGGGGCTTAAGGAGCTTCGTTAGTGAATAGTGGTATAGCTCAGTTTACTTCCCAAAATTACTTCAGTTGGTAAAGGCAAAGAAACCATAATTATGTTTCCCATCTGGGTATGCATGTTGGTTTTGCCTGAGTTCTCATTTGATGCAGGGACTTGGATTCAAACTACACTAAGCTATTCTGCTGTCACTGGGTGCAGACTTGGTGCCAAGCATGCTATGAATGCATCCCAAATTTGGAGATGGGAGGTCAAAAGAAGCTTCCCAGTGAAAGTAATGTTTAAGCCAAGATCTGGGGGTGCAGTAGTAGTAGTTAGCCAGAATTCTCCTAAAGGAAAGGAAAATTCAAGGCAGGGCATATCACATGTGAAAAGGCTCTGCAGGTGTGAACGCATTTGAAGAACTTAACCACAGTCTAACGTTAATATACTGTGGAGAGGGATTCAGAGGAGCTGAGATGAGCAAGACTCTGTAAATTGTGTCAGGGAGTTAGAACTTTGTTCTCTGAGCCTCAGGAGGAGTCTTTGAAGGTTATTGAGCAAAGGGTAGCATGCTGGGAAAGGGATGGGACTAGGACAGCTCTTTAGAAAGGAGACTGTGGCTGTCACCCAGGCTGGAGATAGTGGGGACTTCAACTTTGGTAAGTTGACGAATGGATTTGTTAAGATCCCCCTCAGTAACTTCCTAAGATCTGTAAGTCTACAAATGAGAAAATTAACTCCATTGAAGTGCCTATTACAAAATCATACTGAAAGAGGGCAGAACTTCCCTTGACACAGTATGTTGGTTGCCTTTCAGGATTTTATTCTCATACCCTTTTTAATAATCTCCAATCTTAACATTTTGCCAAGTAATAACATGTAGAAAATCTTATCATCATAATACTAGTATATCATTTTAGTTAATAGAATGTTTTGTTCTTTCCCTTTGAAATCTTGTATAGAAAGAGTTGATTTAGTATTTTGTTATATTATCATTCTTGGCTATATTCTCTGCAGTTTTCTGCAGCTTAAGAACACTAAAAGTTACTCATTTCAACAGACAGCACACTCTTGAAATAAGCCTGCTGCCACCGTTCCAGTTGCTCTAACGGTGTAATCCAAACCTGTAAAGCTTTGGGAGAACCTGAGTGCTGTTTTTTCCAGCCGTTGGCTTCTGGGACAGCACCCTGCTCATGACCCGCCTCCTCTCACATCATGGAGGAAGCAGCATGCATGTCAGTTTCCATTTACCTAGCAATGTCTAATATTGGACTTAGAGCTTCATTGAATTCTAATGTATTTTCTCTGCAACCAGAAGCTCTTTCCCCAGTGAATGAAGACAAAAATGTAGCATGTGAAAATATAACTGGGTTCTCAGAGTTTCGGCTCTTTCCTTAGTGATACCTGCCGGAATTTACATATATCCTTTGGGGGCGTGGGGCAGAGCTGACAAAGGGTGCTGTCTACAGCTCTCACCATGTTGTTGAGTGATACATCTCACTTTCTCAAGTTCCTGTCAGCCTTTTCCCTCAGGAATTTAGAAATTCATTAATATTGGGAACATTGCTTATTGCTAACCTAGAGTTTTTACTAGTAACTAAAAAAAGAAATCTTGCTAGCTGATGATTGCTACATCTGTTCATCTTTTCTTTTTAAATATTGCAGTCTATGCAGCAGCAAAACCAGGACTCTGAAGTATTTGCCCAGCCTAAGGTGTTATCCAGTGCCATCCCAGTAAGCACTATCTTCTTCTGACGAACACATTATATATGTATTTTTAAGTTCTGCTGCTAAGTGTGAAGTCAAATGTCACTTTAGTTAAAAGTTTGACCTTTCAAACCTACATCCATTTCAGATACCCCATTCCCCTAGTCAGAGGTTGGTGCTATAGCATCTGTAAAGCCCGAGTCACCTCTCTAAATGTCTTCCCCTGAGTGTGGGTCTCTTGGCAGGGCCAACCACTCTCTGTGTTTGTGAATGGGCGGCCCAGTTCCGTGGTTAGCTGTAAGAGCTGTGATGTCTCAGTTAATAAAGGCAGAGTCACTGCAATAAGGACATTGCCCAAGTGCTGTGACTTATCCTGTCACACCAGTGCCTTGTTTGTCAAAGAATGACTTACTGCGCATGCTACACTATTACTGATCATACTTGTCTTCTCACTTGATTAGACTGGATTTCCTGTAACAACTCCAAGACCTTTCTTATAAAATAAATAGACTTCATTTTTTAGCTAACTGAAGCTTCTTAACAAGTTGTAAAATACTCAGCTCTTTCTATTCAGTGTAAGTTGTTAACACGTAGCTATTTCATTTCAATGCATTTACTTAACCCCCAATAGTTAGCATGTAACTCTGCTCCAGTCTTCCATTATGCCTGTTGTGCATTCTGCCCTACTCTGGGCTACCTTCTGCACTTTGCTGCAAAATGGCTATTGTTTCTCTGCAGGTTACAGGCCCCTCACTGGTAACCGCTACAACCACAACAGTACCTTCTGTCCTGCTGTCACCGAGTGTTTTCCAGCAGACAGCTACGAGGTCCACAGACCTTGAAAGGAAAGCAAACTCCCCGTCTCCTCTAACTGTTGGGACATCAGAAAATCCAAGAAAGCCTTCGATTGTTCTCAGTAAGGCTCAGCTCCAGGATACGCTAATACATCTGATAAAGGTATGTAGGACATCAGTTAGTCTTTCCATTTGTAGATTTTCCTTGGACAATCAGTTCATGTAGTGTGAAAAGACTAGGTAAGAGGCTACTTCTGTTTCCCCAAGTACACCTAGCTAATGGGGAAAAGCTGAAACAATGAGCTCTAAACATTGGTTATCTCTTGACGATGGGATTATTTGTGTAACTTATTATACAGATCATTTAGGAAGTTTTCAAAGCTATTACCAAGCAGTGGTAACTAATTATATAAAATGTATAAGAATGAGTGTCTAAAACAGGATGGACAATCTCCTCTGGTGCCTCTGGAAATCCACTGGGGGGTCAGCTGTGGGGGTTGATTCTGACTCAGTGGTATACAACGACAACATGTGAATGAGTGTGTAAAATATAAGTACATGTACAAAACATGATGTATGTGAATGATTATATGCAAACCAATTAAAAAAAATGTTTAAAGCCATTATCAGGGAAGTAAGTTCTGCTGACATAAGATGACATGTCATTTTTCTGGTGATCTCTTCCAGAATGACTCAAGCTTTCTGAGTACACTTCATGAAGTCTACTTGCAGGTTCTGACCAAGAATAAAGACAGCCTCAATCTATGACGGGAACTGAGTAAACCTGAGTGCATCTTGTCGACCTCAGAAACAAATAGGTTTTATCATGGAAGCATCTCAGCAGATGCTGAGTTTTAAGAATACTGAAATTGAGCCTATAAGAAATGAAAAAACTTAATTCCTTAAGAATGTTTTCCAAGTGACGTTCTCAGTGATAATGGAGGTTTCACTGTGAAGCATCACCAGCAGACCTTTTATTTTGACAAAAAAGAAATGACCATTGTGTTAAGTTATGTGGGTGTATCCAGCTGTGATTAAGTATGTGGAATAGGGAGTCTGGTTTTTAGCTTGCCATCATTTGTGAATACTTAGAGAGCAGTAGTCACCAGCCTTGCAACAGTCAGAGTTTAGCCCAGCCTACAACCCCACCTCCTACCCCCAATCACGTGACTCTGGGCATGAGACTGATAATGAAACTCTGAGCAAAGTAGAAATAACTTGGAATTTTAAGAATCGGAGTTTTACGCTGAAAAATTAGGACTGATTTGTTTAACTGAAGGGTATTTTATACGACTGCCCCGTTTGGGCCTTAAAAGTTCTGTAGTTTCTTAATTGTATTTTATTGTTTAAGTTACCCTAGTCCTGCTGCACAGCAGGTGCCCATCACCATGTCACTGTAGGAATAGGGCCAGATCAGACCCCACATTTTGCAGAAGCAGGCCTGTCCCCCCTTTGACACAAAGACTGGGGTAGTAAAGCTAAATCCTATCAGAAATGTTCATGTTAAAATGAGCTCTCCAGTGGTTTTCAAAGTGTTAAGTTTCTGTGTGACGCATAGCCTTATTTTCCTTTTTTAACTTAACACCAGTTAAAAAAGTCATTGTTGATTGTTTTTCTTAACACTCTGATGAGTGGACCAGTGGACCAATACGACAAAGCCATTCTGGTTCCATTCCTCATGTATGGAGAATAGTTTTAAAGCTATGCAGTAAAAGGAGCTGTTATTCACACTGCCCTTACTTTGTTGTAGAAATGGAATTTTAAAAAGAAGTGTGAAATTCAGAATCTTACCAATATATTCCTAGGCTGTGATTATTTTTCCAGCCAAAGTGTGAAAATATGTAAAGATGCTTTGTTATGCTGCTATTAATCTGCCAGGATTTATATTTATTCTTTTATGGCATGTAATGGTGATTAGCAATATTTTAATGTAGATTTCGATTTATTTCAGTAGTAGTAATTTTAAGATATCCTTTGAATGAAAGTGTCTTTGTTTCTATGATACAGGTCATTTTGTAGTATTTAACCAATTAAGATGCACTGCTTACTTTTCTGAGCACTATTTAATGATGGGGTAAAAACCCAACGGCTCAACCAGCTAGCATAAGGATTAGCTGTGAATAATGCTGGCACATGTGGTTGTTCCTTGAGAATGATCATTTAAGCTTTAATGGTAACTCAATCATAAGTCCGTAGATTTTTCTAGCTGAGATTTTTAAAAAATTACTTGTGAATTGCATACTTGTTTTAGTTTGTTCTTGGTTTTCTTAGCAAAAATAATATTTTGGTTGATTGGCATCTGTTAATCTACATATGCTTCCTGACAGCTTTTCTGCTTCTCAATTTATTGTCTCCTATTGCTGTATACCTAATTAGGTATGAATTTTACAGAATTCAGGGAAGCTTGTATGTTCTCATATTCAGTTAGGAATTATTTGTTTTCAAAGATAGTGTGTAAATTCCACAACCAAAAATGAATTGTTCATGTGTCATCCAAAAAACAGTTTTAATGAGATGGAGTACTATCATAATACCAGGAGATGTGGCAGACAGAGGAAGCATGTGACTGTTCTCGGAAACTGGATGCACCTGTGGGATTTTAATTGTACCCCAAGGATAGCCTCACTGGGCTTTGGAAACGGAAAAATCAAGGGAATCTTACTCTTAGTGACTTGGTTAAAATGATGCTCTGGAGTATATATATGATGACAGAGTTACAAGAAAATACCTTAAAGAGAATCCGTAAGCATTTATATTCATTTTTACCCTTTCATCCAAGAAATGAAATGAAGACAGTAAAAAGAACCTGTGATACGGTTTCCCTCAGTGTGAAAATAAGCTTTTAATTGCCCACCTAAGTCACGGAAATGTCAAAAGGGTAAACCTGTTAAAACTCTAGTTTGTGTCTTCAAAGCATTCAAAATTCAGAAGCCAGAAGTTCATTAGTTATGATTACCAGCAAGTTCAGGCCAGAATGAGTCCTTTGAGAACCAGGCCACGCCTGGGTTATTGTGGTCGGATGACCCTGGCCCGAAAGTCACAGTTCAGTTGCCTTATTCCTCATTCAGGCTTATGATCTGGAACCTCATGCTAGCTTTGGTTGCATGTTTACATTGCTGCAGTGTCTTTACTAGACCTTTGTTTAAAGGAAATCAAAACAGACACCAAAAAGAGATGCTTCTTGGTAGAACCCCAGGGTTCCCACATGTGGGCCACTCTGTCCACCCCAACTCCCAGGTCTAGATGCGGGAGAGGAGCCGCCCAGAGCTTGGAGTGGCGGTGTGTCTGGAGGTCACTGGGGATGGGCCTGCCCTTCCTCCCATGGTGGTTGTCCTTGAACGGACACTGCTACCCCCAACAGGCATGTGCGTGCTCCTCTTCTCCATGCATCTCTGGGAGGTTTGGGGTATGAACGTGGCCTGGTTGGCTTTGAATCCTAAGCTTTCAAGGTGTTGGCAGTGTGAGGAGAAGCATTTCATGCTGTCTGTGTATAGAATGTTCACAGCTCCCCCTCGAGGTTTACAAGTAGCCAGCAGAGAGTGGTGTTTTGTTAGGCGCCCAACTTGACCCGGATCTTTCTTGGCCAAAGGATGCACAGGCATCGTTTTAAAAAATGTCTGAACAGGTTTTGCATGTCAAGCATTTGTTCTTTTCTTGGCTTGTGTTTTCTTGTAAAATTTACAAACCCCGTTGGACCCTCTCTACTAGATAAACAATCTTAAACCATGCAGCTTTATCACTGTCCTCCCCAAAGAATGTAGTTTGACATTTTCTCATGTTGGAAGTGGAGGCCACGGCTACCACTGTATTACTAATAATGCATCGTGAAATCGAGGATGCCTAACAGCGTAACCATGAAAATCTGTCCTTTTACTATAACACTGCAAAATGGGAACAGTGGAATGAGAGGTGGCACAGGCATGGTGAGCGAGAAGGCAGGCCTAACAGGGATGTCTGTCCTGCATTCTCACCTCACATTTGCTGCCACGCACGCTTTCTTCCTCCCTGCCGGTGGTCACCTTTAGTTGTGTCCAGAGTACCTGCTGGCACCAATATTGCCCTGTGTTTTCAAGTGTCTAAAAAGTGAAGATCTGAAGAAAATCAACTTCCACCAGGCTTTTCAAAAGTGTTCTTGCCAACACATTCCCCTGCATGGCCTGGGCCTCAAGAAGCCTGTTTTCCAGCAAATTCAGCAGGAGAGATGTGTGTAATGTTTCACTCAGTTTTACATTTAACATTGTAATTAAAAATGATGAAATGCAATATTCACTTTGAAGTAGGGAAAATGCAGAATGTGTGTTTCCCTGTTACCTATGTGATTTCTTAACAAACCTGTTTTTACAGTATGTGTTCTAAATGGTTTTTATTCTGTATTACTGCTTTGGCCATGTGGCTCTCATGACTGTCAGTGTACCAGACTCTCAGCTCCCTGCAGTGTGGGATGAGACGCTCTGAAGTTACAGCAAGATTTATGTTCCATGAGCGCAATACTACATCATTAACATTTTTAATGGTATGGATTTTATACCATCTGAATATGTTTGCAAATGTTAAGTTATTACATGTTTTAAAATAAGCATTTTTCATTCTAAATTTTATATGTTTGCAAATCTATTTTTTTAATAAAAATTCAAAACCAAGTTTTAGCACCTACTAACTTTCAATTGTGTTTTTTTATTCTGTTTGCAGAAATAGAAACTCTTCAGTCAGTTGTCACAGTTGCCAGGGCCTCCTGTTAGTGAGATTGGGTGGGGTGAGAGCAGAACAAGCAAAGAATCCACATCTCCACCCATTTCCCACCAATTTGATTACAGATCTCCCTTGTATCCTCTCTGATCCCTCTCTGTGCTCAAAAGACAAACTCCCTGCTATCAACTCCGCAGCCCCGCAGGACACGAAAGAACTGCCCTTCTTCTTTCCTAGCCTTAATGAGAACAGACTGCCTCCATTTTGTTCTTAGGAACAGGTGGTGGGTTCAAACCATAGACCTTTTGCTTAGCAGCCCAAGACTTAATCTGTTATGGCACCAAGATGCTTCTCTGAGTACTAGTGCCCATCAAATGAGCACTTCCTTCCTCGGTGATTATTAAAGTGTTCTCTTCATGCAAATGGGCATGTGAGTTACTTCATTTACTTCCCAAGGTTACCCCAGATAGAGTACCATTCTAGTCAAGGGCAAAAACTCTATTCTGTTAGAGACTACATTGAGTCAGGTGTCCTGATGACCTGGAAGGAGAGAGAAAGAAGGAGGACTTAATAATGGCTGGTTTCAGTCCAGGCTGAGCACATATCTCAAACTCTTCTTGAAGGCTGCAACCTTACCAGAGAATGATGATTTGACTTAAGGCCAGAAACCCAAGAATGAGGCATTCTTAGACAACAAAGAAAAGGTGATTACAGGACAAACTGACTAGAGAACATCCTAAAAGCAGATTCTTGGTCATTTCTTTTTTAATAGAAATTTTTTAGAAAATAAGTTTAATGAACGAATGCTAATTATACTATGATGGTGAAGCTTTGTCTCATATTTTGGACATGTTGTTAGGAGACAGCTATTCCTCAGAAAGGGATAGATAACGGGGTAATGGGTCAGCAAAAGGAAGACCCCTGACAAAGATGGAATGACACAGTGACTTCAGCAGTTGGCTCATGCCAGGTGTACCAGAGAGTGATTATGGCACAGGATTCAGATCTTGTTCATAGGGTCACAGTGAGTCATAATGAAATCAACAGCAAATGATCACAATCCATTCCTCAAAGAACTGCACAGCATGAACAATTATAAGGGACATAAATCAGTCACAAAATGATACCACACTTGCTTTTTTTAAAAAAATTTTTTTAAATTTCTTACTCATTGTTAACACATTTTCTTCCCACCCACCCTTTCCGCAGCCCAGCCTGCAAAGCATCCTTTGTTTCAGATTGTTGTCCTGCATGTAATGCCTAATCATATAGTCCTTTTGGACAGTTCTTCCCTTCATCTGTTC